CATTTGAAAATCTTAACCTTATTTGATTTTATAGCAGACAAAACTAATCTTAGCAAATAGCCAAGCTAATCTCATGAACCAATTCATTAGAGATAAGTTCAATCCTTGCTCAGTTGTAACTACTATGACCTTATGTTAGAGTAAGCTTAACTAATATATAACATTACTTGGGTACCTTGGCATGGTATAATGGTTAGCAAGCTTGTCTCGCTAAAACAGTTACAACTGAATAGTGAGTTTGATCCTCACTGGGTGCCCCATACTTTCGGCCTTGTGCCACATCTAAGCTATGCTTAGAAAATCAATAAGGGCACCTCAATGTTAGAAAGCTTGTCTTGCTAGATCAATTATGACTGAGTAGTGAGTTTGATCCTCACTGGGTACCCCATACATTCAGCCTTGTGCCACATCTAAGCCAGGCTTAGAAAATCACTACTTTTGGGCACCTCGAGGTGGTGTAATGGTTAGCAAGCTTGTCTCGCTAGAACAATTGTGAATGAGTAGTGAGTTTGATCCTCACTGGGTGCCCCTTACTTTCAGTCTTGTGCCACATCCAAGCTACACTTGGAAAATCACTATATAACATTACTATTTTATTGTATTCATTGAAATTTGGGATATATTTTTTTCTATTGATAAAAACAAATAATAGGAGTCCACATGAAAATAATGGAAAAAAAAGCAGAATCTCTAAGATTTTAAAATGATGTTATTTATTAGGTTTATTTTAATTGTAATCGATTTTTGTCTTGATTTTTTTTTTTTCAATTCTAAGCAACACAATTTTGTCTAGTTATTTCCATGAGCTTCTTCAGTTCTTTTTTCATTCAGTCATCTTAATCTTTAAATTCTATATTTCAGCATTGGCAAGTGTTGAGCTTTATCTTAAAATTTTATTTATCCAAATTCATGAGAATCCGTTAGTAACAAAAATGTATGCCCTGAATTAAATGAACAGTATGAGAGATTATATTTACTTCTTGAAAATTAGCAAGACTAACAAATAAAAAACTTCAACAGAAATAATTTGCTAAGAAAGAAGGAAATGAGAAAGAAAAGAAAGAGTACTAATCTAAGACATCAAATAGAGATAAAACTAAATTGGATAAATAAAAAAAAAAAAAAAAAAAGAGAAATTCAGCAGAAAAGATGCCTTTGATAATTTTCAGAATGACAAAGCTGAACAGATATCTTTATATATTTCAAAGAGGCACAAAAGGAAAAAGTTTCAACAGCACTATTAGTGTTGCTGTTGAGATTTTGGTAATCTACATGAAGTTTTAATGATCCACAAAACATTTTTCAAACTATGCAGCATTGTTTTGTTTATAACTAGATTAAAATTGTTTTTAATATTTAAATTTATATTTTAGTATATTTTGATTTAACAAAGAATCGATTCAATACTGATGTTCCACTAGTGACATAGGACTTACTCCCCTTTATTCACTTTGCGTTTTTAAGGACATGAATGCATCTTCCTCCAGCTATAGGTTAAATAGCTGGGCAGACTGGACACTCTAGCTGTAAGTATAACCAGTCTAGGAGAAAGAAAAATTATGAATTCAAATCTCTTGCTTTACAGCAATATTCATAGAAAAAAAGGCTGTAGAAGTAAAATCCAGACAGAAAATCACTAAGATGGTTGGTTATCAATATTAAGCGTCTCCTGAAGCCAAGCTGACCTTGAACATAATGTCATGCATACTTTTGAATCTTGTGCATTTGGTCAAGAGAGCAGGCCTATTGTCTGGACAGTGAAAGGCCTCTATACATCATCAGACTTAACTGACTATGGCTTTTATTCTAATTTTTTACAAATGAATTTTCAAGAAATATTCACCTTGATAAGATAATAAATGAGTTTATGCTGTAAGAACTTCATCACAATATATACAGTTTCTTGGCTTATCAAAACCGATATAAAATTAATTTCATAAAACTTTTAAAATGTCTTATTTCTCGGTGACTCCAAGCAAGAACTGTTTTATTCTAACTTACTATTGTTAAATTAATTCATATATAAGGACTAGAAATATTAATAAATTAGATTCAAATTCTCTCCTTTTTCAAGGATAAATCAATAAAGGATATATCAGTTCATAATTTTTTATAAAAATATTGAGAAAAATATTATTTGAACTAAAAGTCAACCCCCAAAAAGAAGGGATTTTTTTTTTTTTAAATTTCCATTTAGCTATTAATGGAAAAAATTTTTTTCAGAAAAACTAGATAAAAACTATCAAAACAAATTCTTCCAATGAATCATATTTCTTGAAGCCCAATTAATAAATTACTAGAATATACTGGTATGAAAATAAACCTCAATATTTTTTCTTTAGTCAAATCATGGCCAAATAAAAACATCTTTTTCTACATTTTCACAATATTGAATTTCATTGTAATAATTTGAAATCTTCCTATTTTGAATACTCTCTATTAAAAGTAACAATCTTATATTGATCACTTTTTATATATATACACACACACGTATTCTGCCTTACAAAACAGGTATAGCAGTGTTAGGGGCTCCTTACTGGAAATTAAGAGTTTAGTTATTGGTATAAGTACATCTGAAATCAAACTATCCCATAAGTTCTGTCCGAATTTTGAATAAAGAAAACAAGTGACCAAATGTTATATTTAATTACAGATTCAATCAACAATGTATTTTCCCTGATTATCTATGACTTCCTTTCATCTATTAACAAGCTTACTTCCATTACTGTAAAATTCTTTTGGCTTTAATTCGAAGAACTCACAAACATCAGTTTTAACCTCTTCCTGTGCTACAAAAGCTGTTTCTTCCAAATGATTCTGTAAGCTATGAAACAAATGGTAGTGTGAAGGAGCAAGATCGGGAGAATAAGGTGGATGAGGAATTTTCTCCCAACCAAGTTCTTTGATCTTTTGTGACATGATTCTTGCTGTGTGGGGTCGTGCATTGTCCTGATGAAACATCACCCCTTTTCGATTCACTAGAGCAGGTCTTTTTTCCTCAAAAGCTTGGTTCAAAACGCTCTAATTGCTGACAGTATATTTGAGCATTAATTGTTGCATTAGGTGGTAAGAATTCAAAGTGGATTATTCTTGGCGATCCCACCAGATTGAAAGAAGAACCTTTTGCCCATAAAGTTCCCTTCTCAGCTGTGGCTAGGGTCTTTCCCCTTTACCAAGCCACTGTCTACAATGCTTAACATTTCGATAAAAGATCCATTTTTCATCGCCAGTCACAAGTCTATCCAAAAAAGGTGAAACAAGTTGGTGAGAATGGAGAGAAGAGCAGATGTCAACTCGGGATTTGAGGTTGTTTTCAGACAATTCATGAGGCACCCATTTTCCAAGTTTAGGAACTTTTCCAAGTTGTTGAAGATGACGATGAACAGTTGTATGATTTGAACTGAGAACCACTGCCAATTCCTCAACTGATAAAGCAGGATTTTCTTCAAGGGCTGCTTCAAGAAGCTTTTCATCAAGCTCAACTGGACGTCCGGTTTGATCTTCATCTTCAAGGGTGAAATCTCCACCTCTGAATTTTGCAAACCATCTTCTGCCAGTTCTTTCATTCACACATTCCTCTCCATAAACTGAGTGAATGTTTCTAGCCACTTCAGCTGCTGAGTTTCTTTTCTTGAACTCATAAAGCATTATGTGCCTCAAATGATTCTTGAGTACTTCCATGTTAGCAGGGTTTTAATCAAACAAAATTTAATTTTATTCTCTGAAATAAAATTTGATCAGTTTAAATGTATCTAAACAAAAATAATGTTCAGCTCCATTAGACATTATAAAATACTCTTTAAATTTTGTTCATTTTAAAAAAAGGTAAAATTCAGACAGAACTTATGGGATGACCTGATATTTCATAAATATATTTTGAATTAAGATATTTGCATGATATATTCTATGTTAAATACATTGCCTCTTTATTACTCTTATTATTACTTTTTATCACAATATGCCTAATTGATACACATCAGCAACTAAACTAGTGTAAATGTAAGAAATAAAGTAACTTGCAATGACACTTGGAACTTATCTTTCATATAGATGTCACCTCACCATTTTGCCACATACACCTGATATATGGGATACTAAGCTAGTTGAAAATCTTAGTATTTGTAAAAAAAAAAAAAAAAGTTTCTTTTTACCCATTATTTTATTAGCTTTACTCTATTTTTACTATAAAAATCTGTGCCAATTGTCATTACTATTATTCAACCGCTAAAGTAAACAGTATAAAACCAGTAGATTCTGCTGAGACTTGTACATAATCAAACACCTTACGAACCTATTGCCTTAACCATTTAAAAGTAATTTCATTGTGATAAAAAGCAACAATGATAACAGGATTCGAGTAATAATGAAGAGTCTATCTAACCAATGTTTTGATTTAAACCCCCCTTCCATGTAAAACAAAACAGTATTATCAAGGATTAAAAGTACTAGCTAAAAGTAAAGTGACTTTAGATTGATAGTTTAAAGAAAAAAAAAAAAAAGAGGGGGACACAGACACAAAATGTATCTTATTTTTGTGATTGGTTATTAGATTACTATAAATAATTTATTACAACCAAAGGACATATAGACTTCATATTTTCAAATATTTTTGAAATTGTCAATGAATTTTTGGATTAACTAACGGATTTCAAGAAATATATAGAATTTGGAATATGTTTGTTCTTACAAATTGGCTGTGCAAATAATATGGGAGGAAAAAAAAATGGTGTCTCAAATAAATTCAAAGTGAACAGACACAGGAAGAAGCAGTGGACAGCTGAACGAACAAACAAACAACTGGACAAACAGACTAAAAAAAAAATTAATCATTTAGTGGTGCATCTGAAGTGAACAGGAAGTGCAGTGGAGTGATGGGCTTGATAACAGGAAGTGACATCATCATAAGACAAGTTGTGCAGTGATATCCAATGAAGATAAATGTGGAGATCTGAAAAACTTTTGTACTTGTTTCTTTTTGGTTTTTTCTTTTTAATACAAACCTTGGCTGCACGAGCGACAGTGAGACCTTGAAACATTTCATGCTTTGTGTGTGGAGAAATGAGAGATACGGTGCCTTGCTGGTGCTTGTACCCATCTCCACGCACAGATCCAACCTAAAGGAAGGATAAGATAAACGAGTGCCTAGGCATAAGCAAACCAGACAGAATTTTCATTTTTGTGTTGTCAGTTAAAAAAATAAATAAATAGAAACTTTTTTTTTTTTTTTTAATGGGGTGGGTTTTCATTTCTCTCCACACACTGAAGACAGTGCCACAATAACAAGAACAACAAAAATTCCTTCAAAAATAGATAAAAAGCAACAACAAAAGAACAAAACATAAGTTATGATAAAACAAATAATATAACCATCATTGATTTATCAACAGATGTACAAAAAGTAAATAACAGAATAAAAAGACAAAATAAAAACAATAAAACAAAAAAAAAATGTATAAGCAACAAAAATCATAAAACATTATTACATTATCATATAAACATAAAATTATTTTATTCTTATACAAATTAAAAATGCTTAAATATATTAATAACAAATTGTTAATGTATTTAGTCTTCACTGCATATTTCAACTTTTGCTTTTATATTAAAAACAATCTTCTAAAGAAATAAAAAAGCCTAGCCATTATTCTGATAGTTGACAACGATGTCAAATAAATTTGATTTTAAGTCCTTTTTTTTTTTCTTTTGAATCACAAGAAAAGATTGAGGAATTTTTTATTTTTAGAAATAAAAAGAAAAAAGTCGTTAAAAAGATTATCACCAAATGTTATTCTTTCATATCATGGATTATTTTTTTCTTAATATAAAGTTGTAAAAGTGCAGTGACACCTGCCTAGTAAAAGGTTAAGCTCACAAATTTTACTTACTAACAGATCTGTCCAACAACAAACAAATACTGAATAATAAATCTAATAAATGTACTTAACTGATTGCTCCCCTGTGTAATGCAGTACTAGTTCTTACTTGACTTAGAAAACAGTGTCTTATTTGCTAATTTTTTATTTTTTTTTACATTTTTCTTATCTAATAGTAGTACTAGACATAATAGTATTTACATTATTTGAATTTATTAAAGCAAGCATTTTCAGTATTTATTTTGACTCATTCCCCCCCCCTCTTTATTGTTACTTTTTTATTTGGAATTAACACTGGTTAACATTGAATCTAATACAAAAAACGACTCATCAAAATTTAATAATGAAAATATATCATCTAATAAAACAACTTAAAGTTTATTATGTCTACCACTGCTAAATTCAGTTAGAGTTAGTTACTTTTTGCAACTAACAATTGTAGAATCTTAGTTCTATTATGTGATATGTTGAGCCAACAAGTTCACTCTGTAAAAACTCTGTAACAGTTAAAAGGAACTCCTCTTAATATGCAGGTCTTGGATTCTAGAGCAAATCTTTAGGGTTTTATAGAGTTTATATCTGATTGAGTAAGAGTTGTTTTAACTCATCAATATCAATGTGAAGCTCTATAAGGAAATTTTTATTATTTTTTTTTAAAGTAACATTTTCTTCAAGGTTGACCCATTTTCATGGATAATGGAGTGGGTTTTGCCAGTATTTTACAAGCAGAATATATATCTATATCTTTTAGAAATTATCAGACTTTTGCTTACAACATAAAAACATTTGTTGTAAGCAAAAGTCTGGTAATTTCCCAAAGATTTATCATTAAAAAAACATCCAATTAATTTTTCAACATTTTAATTTTGTATTTATTTATACAAATAACATCTTATTTCACTTGGAAGTGAATATGTCTAAAATTTTACATACAATGTTCAAATGCTTAAAAATGTTCTACAAAATACTAAAGATTAGCAAACAACTATCTAGAGATTGACAAATACCAATGGGCTGCCAAGTTTATGGAGACTATTGCTCCTATTTTATCACAATATATTGTAACTATTTGTCTATAACAATTTCCATTTCACTAGAATTATTAAATTTTTGAAGTCAACAAGCCACCAACTTGTCTCGACCAAGTGAAATCAAAAGTCAAGAACAATATTATACAAGGGTTAGTTAAAAAGTAACACCTGTTTTAATTTAATTTTAAAAGTATTAGTCTTTTTTCTTTTAAGCTATAAATCATGAAGTGTCAAAAAGCCCAGGGGGAAAATTTTATGAACTTTTTGCCTACTCATAATTTTATTTCAATATGGCTACTCTCCAGATAGACATGAAAAGTAAAGATTTGTCACAATTTCTTATTAGAAGGAAAAAGTTGATTGATTTGTTTTTTATGGCTTAGCCCTTTGTGGGTTATTTTAAGGCTAAAATTGTGCTTTAGATTGTAAGAATTTTTTTTCTTGCAAGTGCATATTGCATTAACATTTTTTTTTTTTTTTGAGAACAACAATGATTTTTCCAGATACAAATCCTACTATTCAACCCATAGCTAAGGAAGAGATGCATTCATACCTTTCCCAAGAGTATTTGCATGTAAGTGAATCTAACAGACCCAAGTGGAATTCAAACTCAGCTCTCATTTCAAGCTGCTATGCATTGCACCATCTGCACAGGAAGAATAAAGTGCTGCAACCATTCACATGAGATAAGTGAATGTTTATAGAAAAGGTGCACTTGATATAAGCACAGTAAAAGAGATAGGTCCTAGAGATAAAAGGAAAATTATCCTTAGTGACAGGCCTTGCAGTGGCAGATCAGCTGCTGCTGTGAATGAGGATAAGGCCAAACAATCTGATGTTCTCACTACAGCTGATAGAAGAGTCACTTTTTTTAAATCTCTCCATGAAAGCCAGCAGTCTCTTGCCTACACCAAGATCTGTACAAAGTGGCTTACTAGAAAGCTGATGGACACAGCAAAAGAGAAGGTGATTGCTGATCTGGAATCTTCATTTGGCATCCTCAGATTTACATCTGTTTGGAAAGAGACAACTTGCACATGGCTAAGAAAGCAGCCAAGACGCTTCTACAAGCCTGGTATATATCATAATCCCGAGTTCCATAATCCAAGGCTGTCGAGGCAAAACATGTACTGCAGCTGTAGCAGCAGTGGGTGTATTGTTGTTTTTGTTGTTCTTTTTTTTAAATCATTTCACCCCATGCAAGTGGTTACTGAGGCATAAAGATTGAAGGAACCTGAGAAAACCTTATTGAGGAGAAAGGTCAATAAAAAGTACAGGATTTAAGGAGACAGAAGATTAAGATTGACACTGCATCTTAATTTTTGAAAAATTTAACCAGATGAAGCCCATCCCTCTTCAAACTGGTTTCGAATTCAGTTGTCCTTCTCTTAGACTGGTTACCCTACTATGACTAAAGAGTTCATTTTACCTTATTTACAAGAGTTATAATTCAGTTTTCCTTTTAGACTGGCTGCTATTCAATGCAGGAAAGCCCAGTCCAGCCTAATGCTTAACCCATAGATGGAGGAAAATGTATGCCTTTTCCAAAAGTAATAGTGTTAAGTCAATGAAATAGATTTGGTCTGAATTTGAACTCTGCATTCCACTTTTCACGTCAATAACTGATATGTTAGTCACATATAAATATTTTTATTCAAAGTGGAATATCACAATTGACAAGGACAAAAATGTTGAAGATTAGGTTTGAAATTCTGAGATTTTCATGGTCATTTCATTAAACTTTGTTTCATTATAATATTAAATCTTATAATTAAAGTACAGGCATTACTTTTTGACTAGCCATTGTACATTAATCTTTAGTGAACTATTAGTTTTACTGTTCTAATACATCAAGAATAACCAAATTACTAGAAGCAGAAGACGATCATAACATATACACAAAGAATTGCAATGATGCCTAAAGTTAGAATAGTCCAAATAAATATTACCATTTTCTTCAGAAATGTATATCAGAAAATATCAAGTTATTAGACCATAAAACAGATTCTTGACAAAGTATTTTGAGTTTTGAAAAGATTTTTTAGAAATAGTAGCAAGTAGAGATGTTACCTTGGAAAAAAAACAAACAAAAACTTTAAATTTGATAAAGCTAACAGAGGAATTGAAATTTCTTTATAAAATAAAGATTGCAACAAATAAGCACAAAGTAAAGGCAAACAAAGAAAAAAAATTAACAAATTCTAATTTTAACAAAATGGAAACTTTGAAAACAGCTTCATGGATAATTATACCTTATACTACAACTAGATTTGCTTTGTTATTTTCAAGCATTTTAATTTTGGGCTAAAAAGATTAAGAAAAAATATTGAAAATAGCATTTTTCTTAAATCTTTACAAACAGCCTGCTAATAGCTCATAAATAACAGATTATTTCATTTTGATTACAAAGAAAAATGGAACCCCCCCCCCAAAAAAAAACAGGGACACTGTTTGGTTTGTCATAAAAAGAAATAAGATAGAGGAGGTAATAATGCTTTCATGTATTTAATGTTTGCTTCAGTAAAATGGAAAAAATCTTGTTATTTTCAAATCTTTTCATTTGTACCCACTTAGTTCTTGAAATAATGATCTGCATACATACTTATCATTGTTATTGAAATATTGTTTCTTTAAAGCTCAAATATTTAACAATACAACAGGAGAATTTTCATGGTTATTTTATAGTCATAGAACTTACAAGAGTTTATTCAATCATTAACTTATAAATTATGATTCTTTTAGAAAGTTCAAAAGAAAAAGTGAAAATTTTCATGGTTAATTCTATTTTGTAATTAATATAAGTTCACTTGCACAAGAATTTACTCTCATTTTAAACAAGATAGAATTTGAACTCACACATTAGTGAACCATGTTTAAAACTATGTAGAGGACTTGGTTAATATAATTTCAATACTACCATATTTTTCAGTGTATGAAATGTGCTTTTGTATAATATGAACATTTATTTTCACAATGAAAACTGAAGATTACATAATGATAAAAAGATGTCTGCCATTTATAACCTTTGACATAAAAATGGAACTGATTGTTTAATCAGTTCTTTGAAAGGTATAAAATTAGTTTTCATTAAATTAACTACATTTCTATCTTTCTCATGGTCTTGTCAATATTAAATGCCATTTGTAGGCATTTTTATGAGCAAATTTAACAAGAAACACTCTTCTTGGTAAGATATTCAAATATAAAATA